CTCAGTAGATTGAAAGCCTTGAATTTCTGATGAGAAGGCTTGTTTTATTCTCTGATCATCTCTCCAAACCTGATCCAATTTGTCATCATTCTTCTTGAGCTGTGGACACCAACTTGTGATGTGGTATTGCTACAGTAACATGCCCCTGCATGTGAATAAGTGAGAGTCTCACAAATCCCACATAAGAGCTCTTGTTACCCGTGGCAGAATTATGGGATTTAGGGAGTTGTCATTGCACTGATTTTTCTCCTAGGCCTTTCATTCTTCCCTGAAGTCATGACCTCCTAGAGCAGAATCCTCCATTTATTTGGTGTGTTCTGTATTTTATTGTTATTAAGACATACAGAGGTTTGGACGTTATGGCACTCATATTGTTTACTTCTAGTCAGTTTAATAAATGATGCCTAAATTGTTAGCGATGACTTGACCTTATCCCCCATTTTTTTGTGTGTCTTTTCCAAACACAATTAATAATTATTTTCTGTTTTATTTCATTTCATTAGGAAAAGCCCCAAATGAGACAGACAATACATACTTCATGAGTTTGTCCATTAGAAGCCCATACATTTGTTTATGATTTCTTGCTTTAAATTTCACATTGAATTCTGTCAGTCACTGAGTTGTTAAGCCATTTGATAACTATCCTTCTGGGCTTACTTAATAAAAAATTTTGCCTTACAGGATTGTGTCTCGCTGCACAGTTTATCAAACTTTACCAGAACGATATTTTCATTATTAGCAAAAGCAGAAGATAATCTTCAGAAGTGTCAGAAGGTCTGTTTTGGCGAACCTGTATTGAGGCAATTATTACAACATGATGGCAATTTTAAAATTGCCATCAGTTTATAGTAACTTCCTTTAATTTTGTATTAATGGAATGCAAATCAGCCATTCCTTTGCCTCTCCTAGAACTGATATCAAACTCACAGCAGAGGGCTGGATATCATTAAAAAGTGTAAGAAGTACTCCCTGGTACTTTTGGAAAAGTATCATTGCATGTCTCAGTTCCCTGGGATTTTGTGTGTCTTGCAAACTTTCTGAAAACCTGTATTTGTAGACCAGAGATACCCAACAGCTCCTCTTTTATACTTGGCTGCAAATTATTAAAATATGAAGATTTAATAAGCTTAGTTTTCATGCCTCTGCCTGGATTAATGCTGAAATATGCTCACAACATCATCCACTGTATCACAGAAATGCTAGTTGGATGTAGCTGCCTTTCCTGTGTAATCACTGATAATCTGAACATTTCCACTTCATTAATTTAGTACAGGGTGAGAACCAGAAGAGATCACCAGACCCTCTAGTTCAGCCTCCAGAATGTCATATGTATCATTCCATTTCCTTAAGAAGTGTGCAGAGCTATATAAGGTAGGACAGATAAGTTTTGGTGCTGTGACAGGGAGAGCTGGGGCTGATATAGGTATCCATGATGAGCCTCTCTCAGCCGTTGCTTCCTGGCACATCCTCGTGTGGAGCCAGCCTTTTGCAGGCTCAGAGAGGGCAAGTGAATAAACCATTGTATTGAGGCATTTAAATCAAATTTAAAGACCAACAAGTATAATGAAATACGGACTGAGAAAATGGAATTTGTTTGTGTCTACATGTTCCTACTGGAATAATGATTCCCTATTGGAAACTTTTGCCTGTCAATCCCCAGCTATTTAAAACTGCAACAACAATATCCAGTTGTTGCTTCCTTGTGCCCTCAGTCTTTATCCTAGCTTTTGTTAGGGACAATGCAGTGGTATTCATCAGCAACAATAAGACTGTTATGTTTCATTGTGTTTTTTCCAAAGCTATACAATGTTCTAGCCATTATGGAAGGGTTGCAGTCAGCTGAGTGATGTTTACATGTCACTTCCATACCCTAACAAGAGATATAAAAGAAAGTGTATTGATGCCAGCAGGGGATAGATTCAGCTTGGAAGGCCAGGACTTCTGCCTCTTGTAGAAATGCAGTCCGGGAGGACAGCACTGCACTGCCTCATGTGCTTTTATTTTTGGCCTCTGCTTTAGTGCCACGAGTGTCAGTAGTAGCTGCAGCAAAATGCTTATTCATGCTGCTGCTGAGATCGTTTGCTTTTGGGCAGTATTAATTTTGTGGCTGTGCTAAGTTAGGAATCCATTTCCAAGGACATCAATGGCGTGGCTGTCTGGCTTGTCCTGGCAGCAGCCGGTCTTGTCCGTGTGATGGGGCTGCTCTTGACTTTTGCTGGCATTCCCATAAAAGCATTCCCACACACCTACACCAGTGGGATCAGAACTTTTTCTGGAAGCAGGGTCTTTCCAGCTTTTTCTAGGACGGTGCTTCACAGTCACATGCTGGAGGTGACGGGCGTTTCTCATACATTCCTCGGGCTTTTCTCTGTGCATTTCTCAGCCCCGGTTCGTGTGGCTGGGCTCTTCTGCTCTTTGTAGTGGCAGCTCATTTCACAAGACTCATGGAAGTCATATGGCTGCCTGAGGTCATCACAGAGGAGATGAAGATCCCGTGTTTGCAAATATGTGGGTTGAGCCTGGGGGAGCATTTTTGACACAGCTGTCAGGCAAAGCAGAGGTTCTATCGCATTTCTCCTTTTCAAACACGGCATCCTTGACTTTGACACTTTGGCTTCTGGGAGCTATAACTAGTGTCTGGATTCATGGGAGGTTGAGAGAGAGCAGGAATCCTAACAATTAAGACTTCTTGGAAGAAGAAATGAAGTCTGTTCCTTAGTTTGGATATGGGTGGAGCAGGATTCCCCCTTCTGTAGCCAGCTGGAGAATCATCTTCATATCCCCTGGTGTCTTTGAAGGTAACAAGGCAGGAGGAAGATGTGAGATATGCTGGTAGTTACTTGCTTCCAGGTAATGAGACCTCAGTGCTAAATCACTCAGTTTATTAGTCAAAAGCTATTTTATGGTTTTAAACATTCTTCTTGATAAAAGAAGGGCTGTTTTGGTTGAACAATAAAGCTTGTGGCCACAGGTAGTATTCTTAACTATATATAGATGGCTTTTGGTGTTTCTTCCCGTGACTGCACTGTGACTGTTTATATAATTTACCATTAGTCATCAACAGATTGCAGAGGTTGCTGGTTGAGGAGGTTGACTCAAACTGAGTGGTTAGTTAAGTGCTATGGCAAATGCCAGCCTTTCTGATGAAAAGATCGTGTCTCGAGGCAGTGCTCATTCTGGATTGAGTCCTAGTCAGGAGTTAGGAAGGGTTTGTGCTCTGTGATCCCATTTGTGTGACAGTTTTATGGCTCTATGATATATATGCCTGAGAAAGCTTGAAAAGGGGCTTTAGCCTTCTTCCCAGTCCATGTTCATCCGGTGGGAACTCTTTTCCCATCAGTAATGTTTTATCTTTTTCAGGAGATGACGAAAATGAGGCTCACTTTGCTGTGAGACATTTTGGTCCCAGCTAGAGACAGGATGTTGAGCAGGAGGAGCTGGTGCTCTTACCCATCTTAAAATTGCTTATGAGCTTGGTTACTGTACCTTGTCCATTACTGTACCACTAAACCCCATCACAACCAGGCTGGGAAGAAATCTGTCTCTGTGTGAGTTCCTCAGAGACTTCTGGTTCTTTGCCTTCCTCTGTAGTGCAGAGCACACTGGATTAATGTCACCTGGAAAATCCACCCAGTACATTCCCTGTAGGTGACACTTCTTATTTTTCTTGCAGCTATTGTGTTTGTAGCTTTTGATATTTTACTGTAGGCCTTGTACTTTCCTTGGCTGTTTGAGGGAACTCTGTACAGATTATTATAAAAGGAAAACATAAAAATGTGCAAACTAGGAAAGAGTGGCGTTTTGGTATTGTCAGACAGCACACAAAATCCTGCATTTTGGCACATTTTTCAGGTGGACAAGGCCATTGTCTTCAAGGCCCATGAAGCATTGAAGCCTCTCTGTGGTGTGTGGTTGCCACTGGAAATATTGCCAACAGAGAAGTGGGAGTGTGAGAGTGCCTGGGACTTGCTTCCCCACTGCCTGCTGTCTGTGGCAGCCACAGAGATGTTTTGATTGAAAACTTGACTGCTGCACTAAGGTGCAGGCACTGGCAAGCTGCTGAATGCTGAGAATGCTTCTAGTGCACATATTTTTTAGAATTTTTTTTCATTAAAACCAGCAGTATAGTAAAAGTAGAGGAAAAAAATAGTTCAATTTTACTGCCAAACTCTTGAAGTGACCAATTTCCCCCTTCTGTGTTGAGCACTGGAGACCTTACTTATTCCTCTTTGTGAAATCTGAGGTTACACATACGCCTACAGTTGTTGTGTCACCTGCCTCGGTAAAACTGAGTGTTGACTGCAGGTGTTCTGTGGAGACTGAAGGCAAAATAAAAATGCCAAGTAATTGCTATCCCTGACTCTCAATCCAGCGTGTCTTGTGTTGCAGAACATAAGTAAAATGAAAGGGAAGATCTTCAGAGAGCTGCATGCAAATTTTGACTGGTTGTGGTTTTGGAAGTCAAGGAACAAGGCAATACAGAGAATGCTTTTTTAGCTGTTCTATCAAATGTCATATCTCTGTTTTAATGTTTTATGTGATGTGGCTTCTTTCAGATGATCAGCTGGATTATCTGAGATCAGAGAAAAGGGAGTGGTACTACTCAGCTGCAGAAAATAGGAAGAAAGTGCTGCCATGGCAGGGTAGGGCACAGATACACTGACTGCAGAGCACTGGCTATTTGTGGAGCTTGTTTCAATAGACACATCTCACAGATAGCCAGTCAGAATTACTGAAGTGGAGGTGTTTTATTTATAATCAATAAGTTTAAAACAAACTTCAAAAAAAGTTTATATAACACTATTTTATAATTTTTCCCCTGGGATTTGTTAGATAAGACTGTTAGATATTTGTTTCCTGGACAACTTTGCTATTTGTGTGCTTACTAATTATAATGGAAAGACCTACTAAATTATGTATCTGTGTTAAACAGCTTGCTTTTCAAACAAAGGAAATTGGCCACAACTCTCATTTCTTCTATTTTTATCTTTCTCTTAAAGGGCAACACTTTAAGGAAAATCCTCCTGTATCGATATTTTAAAGGGGAATATGGAAGTGGTATGAATGGGCCCCTGTCTGCCAGCTACAGCAAAACTGCACAAGTGGGAGGTAAATCAACACACATCATTTCAAGAGAGCAAAATTAGCAGCACCATTTTTTCTAATAGGCATATTGGACATGCTCCAGGCATTCAGTTGGTAAATAAATCAAACATGTCTGTAACCACTTAGAAGAGAGGTAGTATCAGACTCCTCTATTTTTAAGTTGCACACACTTGTCTCAGATTGTGCATTTGGAGGTACCAAAGTCAGTACCAGTAAATCCCCATCCAGAAATTCAACAAAGCAGAAAACTTCTGAAGAGAGATGATGTTCTTTCTAGAAACTAAGGAATTTTTTGATGTTCCAGATCCTTTATTGATGTATGAAAAAGATAAGATCAAAGGAAAAGCTTCTCACAAAAATACTGGTTAGACAACGGAACAGATTTTCCTGAGAGGTTGTGGAATGTGTCAGTTCTTGTTACAACTTTACTGGACAAGACTCTGATGAACCTGTCCTATCTCCCTGTGGGCAAGAAGTTTCAGTAGATGATCTCTGTAGGTCCATTATAACCTAATTTTTTATATCATTCTGCTGTGGAAGCCGCAGGAAGTTACTGCAGAGTGGTTTCTAGGAAAACCCATGATAATGGATGTCATAGGAAATGAGTGGAATTAGGTATAGAGCCAGGTCAGAACTGCATTTTGCATTTTCAGTGCACACTGAAGGCATGCCCAGGTTTGTCAGCTTTTGCAGATGTTACCCAGCTGTTCTTCCTTAACTATTTCAATGTAGACACTGAAAATCTTTGCAGGTTTAACATCCTATACATCAAATTTCACTCTCTAACAAACAAGAGACTGAAGTTCTACGATTTTTTAGTTCTCTCTAAAAAGTGTGTTTGTATGGCTTCATCACAAAGTCTGAAGCATTTTAATCAGTTTAATCAAAGTAGTACTGGCTGATTAAAGCAGTACTGTATTTTTACTAATGAAGTAGGCACAGTTACATCGTTAGAGAAGTAAGTATAGCAGGAAAGATGATCATCTGCAATAATAAAAGGCAGTTGATTTAATGAGCTAATACAATTTAGCAAAATTTCTTCAACCCACACCTTTAATTTGAATTAACTCAACTCTGTGTTCTTAAAGAAAACGTCATGATGATGATGGTGGTGGTGATGATGATGATGATCTAGGAGTTGGCAAAAGCATTTGGCTGGAAGGTTCGACTCATAACCAGGGTAGATTTACCAGGACACAATTTATTGTAGATTAGGCCTGAGATTGAAGAGCAAATTTAAGAAGGGTCTTAGAGCACTGACCCTACTCACAGTTTAGTGTATGCAGCAGTGGGATTAAAAAAGGGTTCAGTGAACAAATCAGTGTCATTTCCAACTTATTTATTGTCTGAATATCATGACAGAACAATGGCTTGGGGATTTGTTTTATTTCTTGTTCTTAGGGCCCAACATTGCAGTTTCGTACAAAAATCTTCTTTTTATCAAAGGGAATTTTGCCTGACAGAATTTCAAAACTAAATTGATTACATTGCTATTGTGTGCTTTATGGCTACTAGTAGGTTTGTTTTCATATATGTGTGAAGCAAACATGGATGGTGTTTGTGTATTTGTCTAAATCACAGGTGGATTTTCAGGACAAGATGCAGATAAGTCTGGGGTGACCATGTTTGATATCCAGTGCCTCCTGGACAAAGAAGGTGCCTCAGAACTGGTCATAGATGTGATAGTGAACACCAGGAATGACAGGATTTTCTCAGAAGGCATTCTGCTCGGTATTGCACTGCTTGAAGGTGGGAATACGCAGACACAGGTACTTGTTTAATCTGCTTATTCACATATTGATTCTCAGATGCATGTGGTCTGGAGACAAATAAAGAGAACCTTTTTGCTGTGAGCTCTCTGAAAAGCTTGTCACTAGAATACGTGCCACTGTAATACAAATGTAAATATGCCCTATTACTGTGCAGTAGCTCTTCAGTAGAACAAAATGTTTTTCAGTTGTCCCTCTCTGTGCAGGACTGTGTTGGTTTTTATCTGGTCATTGCCATGTGAGCATTATCCCTAGTTATTTTATGTCACTCTAATTAAAATTAAAAATTATAATACTTCTAAATTTATAATAACAAATTATTTTCTGGAAAACTTCAGAGAGATTGATCAAAATCTCCAAAGAGAAAAAAAAATCTGGTCATTTGAGAAGACAAGTATCCTAGTTGATAGAAAATATCTGCTTTAAACTATGGTTTCTAGGTTTTTTTGTGAATTATATCCATCTCATCCAGATTTAGCCAAATCAGATTTATGACGGAAGAGAGAGAATTGAAATGACGATGGAAGGCTGGGAGAATCGGGATTGTTTGTAAAATGTTGCAAATGGTCCTCAGCCTGCTTGACAGTTATACTCAGGGACTGGAATTAATAACCTAAAATAATATTTAATAATAAATTCTGTCTGCAGCACAAAAAAATGAATATAATCCAAGCTATAATATTACATATTTGGTGTTCCAATCCTTTCTCTTGTTACATAATAAATTACTTTTCACTGTTATTTGTAGATGGAATATCATGACTAGTAATCCTGGAAAAATGGAGAGTGTCACAAAGTAATTTAACTTCAAGTACAATATTGTGACATTTAAAAGACTGCAAATAGCACTGTTCACCATTTTACCCAAATTTTAGAACATTATCATCAGTCTTTGTTACCAGCCTTGTATATCACTTCCTGAAAGAACTGGTCAGGCAGAGGCCAACATTTGTTCTGTGTAAGTGAAGTAATTATTCATTGTTTGTTTCACCAAAATAGTGCATTTTTATATTTCTTCTTCCTTAAAAGATTGATATCTAAAGTATGTACTTTTTTTTTTGCAGTATTCGACTTACCAGCAACTGAAGGAGCAGAAAAAGTCAGAAAGGTTCTTTAAAGTGCTGTATGATCGCATGAAAGCTGCTCAGCAGGAGATCCGATCCACAGTGACAGTGAACACTATTGATTTGGGGAGCAAAAAGAAAGAGGATGACAGCGACCTCACCATATCTGTTCCCAAAAAGAGAGGTAAGGAGGCACCCCTGGGAAGGAGGGGAGCAGGGCATTATGTTGACACTGCACGTGCTGCACCACTGATGCTCTGCTGAGTGGATCAATAAGCTTTAATATTAATCGTTGCCAATTTGCATCTTTTGCCTGTTTTTCTCTGAATTACAGTCCATCTCAGGTTGGCTACAAGGAATTAGCTTTAATGACATCAGTGAAGCTCTGCCAGTTTGCATCAATAAAAGATATTGAGCCGTATTTTTAGAGGAGCAGAAGCAGAGGCTGCTGCTATTGGGGATATTTCACAAGAGCAAGCACAGGAACTGATTTCCCACCCTGTGGTCTTCCCATTGTTCTCATCATTTATTGTATATGGGAGAGAAATAGTAGGGCTTTTTGTGTTAATGTTCTGTTTCACTCTGGTTTGTGGTTTATTTGGAACGTGCTATCCCTGCATGAATGTTGCTTTGATATTCTTTGTGAGTTGCCTAGAGGTCTTTGAAAAGTTAGGCACCAACAAAGAAAAAGTTGTATTCATTATTATTGTTTTCTTATTGTTTAATCAAATGGGGAGAAAGACTTTCAAAAATGAAGGAAAATGATCTTCTTTTCAGTTAAGGATTCAACCCTGCATCTGAAAGAGGGAATGAAAGGACAGTTAACAGAAGCATCTTCTGCAACCTCCAAGGCTTACTCTGTATACAGAAGAGAAATGGACCCAGAAATAGATCTGATGGGCTCGGGAGCAGATGCTGCAAATGCAGAAGAGAAGTCTGCAGAAGAAGCAATCATGAGCCCTGCCATTGCAATCATGCAGCCAATACTGAGATTTCTTCAGCTGCTGTGTGAGAACCACAACCGAGAGCTCCAGGTAAAGTGTTTTGAGCTGAGCTTTTATAGGGGTGTTATTGGAGGGGCTGCACATTCATAAGGGGACGGAAACACACCAGTGCCTGGTCCCTGTTACAGAATAGGGCTGTCTGAAATGTTGGGGTTTTTTGGTCCAAGGGATAAAATTACCCTTTTCAGGAACCATTCGGGTTCTGTGTTGGAGGAGTGCATGTTTATATTCTCAGAATTGCTTGGGGATCTCAGCACAGCCACATGGAGCTGAGAAGTGTCTAAATGTCCCTATCACTAAGGTTCCTGTGCACAATTGGTGGATCACTTACCACAGACTTGAAGAGCACAGGAAGTTTCTGGGTACTGCCATTTTCCCAAAGTATTACAATTGAAGGCTTTAAGATGCTCTGTGTGTCCCTGCTATCAGTTCTTTTGGTAGAAATTACTGTCCCCATAGCAACCTCTGCAAATGGTATTTTCTGGAAATATACCTCAGTGCCATGGCCAGGAGCCTCCCTTCCAGCTGTGGTTGGGGTGGTTTGAGCTGAGCTCCATAATGTGCCACCAAACCTGCTCAGCTGTGGGGCAACAGCTTCCAAGGAGAAGAGCTGTAGTGGGTGGGTGGGAGCAGGTCTGCAGGACATCAAAAAATATTTAAGGCCAGAGCAAATGTTTGCCAAGTTCACTTTCCGAAGCCGTCCTTGCTCTGTGATTTAATTTAATTGATAATAATCAATTGCTGCATTAAGGCCTAATATAGTTTCTATAGTAGTGTACTATACTGTTTCTAGCCACAGTGGTCATATGGTTATAAATTGTATCCATCAATGTTTTAGTGAAAAAAGACTTTGTTTGCCATGACTCTGTTCCTTTTCTTTTCTTTTTTTTTTCTTTTCTTGTGTTTCTTTTCTCCACCCACCAGAATTTTTTAAGACATCAAAACAATAAAACAAATTACAACCTCGTCTGTGAGACCCTTCAGTTTTTGGACTGCATCTGTGGGAGCACCACAGGTGGGCTGGGCTTGCTGGGGCTTTACATCAATGAGAGGAACGTGGCTCTTGTCAACCAGACGCTGGAAAGCCTGACAGAATATTGCCAGGGCCCATGCCATGAGAACCAGGTAGGGCTCAAGAACTTGTGGATGCAGAAGGCTCTACCTGAATGTCTGGGTGCTTATCACAAACCTTTCAGCGTTCCTGATAACATAAATTCACTGGGAGCTGCTATGACTGGACACACCACGCTTCAAGCTTTCACGAGGCCTGAGCGACCCTTTTAAGTCAGAACTGAAAACAGACTCTTCCTATAGTGCCTCTTCTTCCTCTGAGGATTTGCAGTCCTTTTGGAGAGAGTTTCATGTTTTATGTTGCTGTGTCCATGGTCTAAAGCTTACTTTACTTTGTGAGACTGGATTTGGAGTCACGGTTTTGGAAGTGCATTGCAAATGAAGACTTGCATTCTTCATTTTCACACATCTTGCCCTTGCTGGTGTTTATACACCTTGCTAACATTTACTTTCGTTATTTCACATAACTGTCACAAAGTTTAACTTGCCCTCCTGCCATAACACCTAGCAGCATCTTTAATTATGGTATCAGTAGTGAAATGGAAGAGACTAAAGACCATGCTTCTGTTCTCCTCTGCCTTGCTCACTGCAGCCTTTTGAAGTCACACAGCTGTGACTTTTGGTAATTAGTGCTGAAGAAGTGTAGAAAGGTAAAGGATGTGGTTACATGCTGCCATATTTGATCTGAAGAGAACAGTAAAGTTGTCATAGTGGATGAAACTGCAGAATTTTTGCTATGGATTAGCAGTGGGAAAATTGTGGTGAGCAAAATTGCAGAAGCAATCTGTTCTCTATGCTAGAAATAGCTGAAGAAATACATGCAATATTAATGTTTCTTCATTAATGTGCACCAATGAAATGCAAAGTGCTATTACTGCCATTGCTAGTAATCAGCTGCCTTTACTTAATATTTTAAAAACAAACAAAAATCCTTTAGTGGACTAATTTTGAACAGTCATATTTAATCCACTTATGAATGGGAAAAACAACTGTAAAAAAAGTATAGCTACAGGACTGGAGATGAAAAAAATGTTACAAGTTAACATGTTCTCCAACAAAGGTATGAGAGAAGCACGGGATGAACACTGATATGGAAGGGAATGATGAATTACACTTTATTACTTAGACCTGTCTGCTGGGAAGCCACTCAGGATTTGAGTTACACTTGTTTACACCAACTGCACACTGTTACACAACTGTTTACACCAAGTCTAATTCAATATATTTCAGGGGCAAATGCTCCACGCTCTCATTTTCATTTTTCCCCCTCTCTCTGTCTCTCTGGAAGACTTTTCCTTTCCTATTGTCCCGTAAACCTGCCAGAGGAAAAAGTGCCACAGGCTCTTGTATAACTGACTGTTATGCACAAGGCCTAGAAGGTCCAGAACTCCAGCTGTAAAGGCATTTGGGAAGTACCACTGGTCGCAAATACAGTTTTGAATTCCACATCAGAAATACCCTTCTTTGCAGGACATGTCTAGATGCATGGAGAGAACTTTGATTTTCATGAACATTTTGTGCTGGAACAGCAATATTAATGCTGGCTGCTGAGGGCAAATGAGGAATCTGAGCGTGCAAATTTGGTTGTGCCTGCAGTCGAGCTTGTCTTTTATGTCTGAGGCTGGCATGTGCTCAGCTGAATCTGGCAGTGCTGCTGAGGGCTGCTGTCTGCAAGTTGTACTGCTTGGTGCCAAGCCCTGCGGGGTTCTCTGGGAGCAGATTTTAGCTTGTACCTCCTTTTTTCCAGTTGGATATTTCACTACTGGCAGTGTTTGGGTTAGTTCTGTATGCACAAGTCTCCCCCAGCACATCTTGTGGCGTGTTTTCAGGCTGTGCTGCTTTGGCTGAAAGGTTATCACTGTTGCAAGGTGTTTTAAGTTCTGGGTCCTTCTTTTGGAAATTTGCTGATGTGCATATTCTCTTTGTCTCTCTGGCTGTATCATCTCCCTCTTTTTCCCACTCCTTTCCTCCCTTCCTTCTGCCCCTGCCCCATTCCCTTCTCTTCTCTTATTTTGCAGACATGCATAGCCACCCATGAGTCTAATGGGATTGATATTATAATTGCTCTCATCTTGAATGACATAAACCCTCTTGGCAAATACTGCATGGACTTGGTGCTTCAGCTCAAGGTACAGTATATGTAAATTTGTTTATCTGAATTGGGGCAGCAACAGAAGACATACCTATGTGAGAGCTCTAGGCAGGCTGACATTTACTTAATCTTACCATAGCACAGTATACTCAGAAGCCTTTAAAAAAAAAAAAAGCTTGAAAATAAGTTCATCTCAGCTTCTGAATCCTTATCAGGCTCTCTGCTACAAGCCTTTTGACCCACTGCTGTGTTGGGACTATGTCATCAGCTTTTAAAAAAAATTCTATCAATCAGGCACGACACAGCTAGCATGAAAAATCTGTATGGTGGATGTAAAATCTCTCAGAATTGATAAATAGCCACACTGTACAGGCATGCAACAAGTCAGGCATTCTCTCTAAATACCAAACTATCAAAAATTACTTGAACGAAATGCTGTGAAAAAGAATAATACATCAGATGACCTGCAATGCCAAATAAAGTTAAAAACAAGGTTCAAGTAAACTGTACTTTATTTCCCTTCTCAGTGTCCTCTGAGGGGAAACACAAAGTGTAGAGTCTGAGGGCAAAGCCTAGAGCGGGAGGGCTTGTAATGTAATTTTGTTCTGTATTCTGGGGAGAGTTGGACAGGCTTGTAGATAAGTTTCTCCTGCCCGTGTGCCAGTGCATGCAGAGAGGAGCTCTGCAGCTGTACTGTCTGCCAAGCAGGGTAGAGTCTGTCCAGGAGGAGCCCTGGGTTATTGCCTTTTCTTGCCTCCCAAATTAAGTATTTCCATTGCAGATGGTCTGTTTCCTCCCCAAACCAGCAAATACTTTGTGGTAGCTGCATTGCATCATATTGGCAGCATTATACATGTCTAATAAAATAATTAATATAGCTATATATCATGTACAATGAAACATTGAATCAACAGTGCCTTACATATGATTTTAATAATGGTAATTACATTTTTGAATGGCAATGTAATTCAGGCCCCCCTCTAGCAAAACACTTAGGCAGACATTTAACTTTGAACATGCAGACAGTTCTTTTGAAGTCCAAATTTCAGTCTCTGTAAAGATGTAGCTGTGTTCACTCCAGTGCCATTTTGATTTACCATTGTCATGAGGCTTAGCAAATGCTTGTAGAACAGCTTTTCTGTGCAGTAACCAAAAATGGAGTTTAGAGACACCTCTGCAAGGACCAGTGTGCCCCTGTTCACAGGAGGCTGGCTGTGCTCAGACTCACTCAATTAGCAACAATTGTGGTGAATGAGTTCAGACTCTGGAAATTATTCAGATTTTTCAGAGTCATTTGCTTTAGTAGGAATGTCTCGAGGTCAACTTGTCCAAGCCCCCTGCTCAAGCAGGGTTACCTAGAGCAGGTTTCTCAGGACCATGTCTAGCTGAATATCTCCAGAGCTGGAGACTCCACAACCATTTTGGGCAGCCTATCCCATTCTTTGATCCCTCTCACAGTATGAAAGTGTTTTCTTGTGTTTAGATAGAATTTCATGGCTGGTTTATTTTGTCTCTTGCCCTCTCACTGGACACTGATGAGAGGGGTCTGGCACCTTCTTCTGCATTTTCTCCCACCAGGTATTTCTACACAGGTATATATATATATTTATACCAGGTATTTGTACCTTGATAAGATCCATCTAAGCATCTGAACTCCACACTGAACAGTCACAACTTTCAGTGGCTCCTAAATGAAAAATGCTCCATTCCTTTCATAATTTTTATGGCTTTTTGCTAGATCCATTCCACTATGTCCATATCACTCTTGTACTGGAGCTGGACACGTTCTGGTCAAGATATGATCTCAAAAATTGGATCCAAATTAAGAAACTGCTGGTTTTGATTTTGAATGGCAACACATTGAAATGATAAAGCAACGAGTTTACCAAGTAATGTTTAACATTGACACTCTGTCAGTATTCATAGGCAACTTTGAAGTTGCAAATACATAAATTTTGCAGTGAAAATACAGAATTCAAAGTATACAGGCCCATACATTTACATTTACAAACAAGCTCAGACACTGCTTTCAGGAAGCATTGTATGTTGAACTTACACCCTCCAACCAAAGGAAAAGCAATGCAGAGTTACATTTTCCCATGCCATCTTAGTTTAGCTTGTTTTGCACATAGTTTTTGATGTGGTATTTAATTACATCTTCATGGATTATATTTTACAGTGGACTCCTGAATCATGTAGTGAGCAGAGCAGACAGTGTTCACTGAATGCATAGATGGCCAGTGTTTTATTCTGCCTCTTTTTATTTCAAGTGTGACCTCCTGCCTTCCTTACTGACCAGTGTGTAAGCCCTGGCACGCAGTAAGAGCTCAGTATCTGCCACATCCGTGGCAGGATGAAGAGACATTGTCAGTCTAAGATTACAGAGAGTCTAAGAATTTTTAAAGTCTTTTAGTTTTTAAGTCTTTTTTTCTTTTTTTTTTTTTTCTCATAGCTGTATCTAGTTGCTTCACTCATTAATTTGTTTTTCCAAAATTTCTATCAGGAGATGAGATGGGAGCACAGGTAAAGGTGAAATGAAGAGTAGAAGTGCTTTGGGCTGTGCTGTTTTTTTAGCACCTGGAAACTGATTTTTCACAATACTAATGTATTATGCACTTTGTGCTGTATTTTCCATGTGATGGATGTCTTTTCCTCAGACAAAAATGGATGTTTGGGATTAGGAATCAGATCCTAGGCTTTCCAAATGTGCAGAAAGTGAGGAATAAGTAGCCAAATAACCATCTCAAATGCCTGTTGTAATTCTAGGCCATGGCAAGGCACTTTTGCTGAGTCAGTAGCAAGAAGCTGGCTGGTGATGACACAAAGTCCTACCTACCCCCTACCTTTCCCAGCTTCCTGGAAGCTGCAGCAGGCTTCTGTCCATCCCCAGGGTTGTCTGCACTGGGAAATAGCTTCAAAGTCCTCCTCAGCCACGAGTGAGTGGACTGATGCCTTCCTCCTGTTCCCTCCCTTTCCTTGGAGCCTGTCACAGCCCCTTCCCTCCTCCTCAGTTTGAGATCCTACCAATGCTACCACTACTGACTTGGCCACCAGTGTAAGGGGAATCTGCAGCAGAAAAGGAATTATTCTGCTTTTCAGAGCAGCATCCTGTTAGGAATCCTCATCAAAATGCTGTCCTCTCCCTCCCCCTGTTCTTGTTCACTGTGCACATCAAACTTGTGCAGTGTTGGTCACAGGTAAAGAGTCTGATTAGTCCTTTCCCATGGATGGTCCTGATTTGATATGGAAGCAGAAGGAAAGGGACATGGCAAAACTCATATGAAGTGCTGTTCTCCTTGAGCCAGTCCCAGTTAGGTCTTTTCTTCTCATCTCTTGTTCTTTGTCCTTATCTCGTTCCTGTATTGGCAAGCCTAGGCTCCTGTGGCCTGGGTGCTATCTCAGCTCCCAGTCTCTTCTCCCAGAAGTTTCTAATTCCCCAGCTATGTACAAGTATTCATTCTAATCTACTCTCCTTCCATTTCCTTTCAGTCTCATCCTTCAGTCCTCCAGTCAGAGGTGTTTAATCCTCAGCCTAACACAGCTCTGAGCAAGCTGCTTTGGAATGCTGGAATCTTAGTCCAGAGGGCAGCCTTTGGTGTGTGGTTTTATGATCCAACCTGCACAGTTTTGTGATTCTGTGCTCACCAAGAAGAACCCCTGTGGGCTTTTAGCTGTGAAATTAGTGTGTTTCTGCTCTGTAGTTCTCAAATTGTAATTTACAAACTGCTTCTGAATTGGACAAGTTTGACTGGGAGACTACAACTCATGTGATTGTTCTATTGGCCTCTAGTGCTCCATATTTTCAGCTCTGTTATCAAAACTTGGGGATACAAAGGCTTCTTAAAACACAAGTTTCTTGAACATGTAGGGAATAACATCTTTCTTTTTGCCCCAGTCCCAAAAGCAGCTGAACCCTTTTCCTCTGAAACTGCCCATGCCAATTATCTGAGGCACACCCTCATTAGAGAAATTTCGTCTGGAATCGTTGATAATGGCAATTAGCAGCTGAGAATGAGGTTGTAGGGGGGGTTGGCAATTTTCCTGGCCCCTACCTCTTCCCTTGGGACTGCCTCCTGCTTCCAAGTGTTCCAACAGCTCAGTCTGTAACAGTAATGATGGGGATGCTGTGACAGGTCAGCCAAGGCACCCCTGCTCTGCCAGCAAGCAGCCAAACCTCCAGAACCATTCTTCCTCTCCACTGCACCACAGCTGATTTAACTGGAAGACAGGCAGGTCTCTGAAGTCTGAGGCACCACTGGGCTACTGTGGCTAAAGCTCATGCTGTGTAATCCTGAGGAGCAGTCTTGGTGAAAAGCAGCCAGTTGACAAAGCAAAGGTTGTCTTTATATATCCCCTCAGGAATATTTAGCAGTGAAACAAAATCCCAGGAGTGTATGAAAACAGTTTATTTTACAGCCTTTCAAATAATAACCAGCTGGACTTCATAAAAACCAAAGGGGAAGGAAACCTGCCTGAATGATAAAACCTTTTATGTAATATGTTTTGTAATTACCTCTGTTAAGTTTCGTTTTAACAGAAAGCCAAGGCAAAAATTGCTAGGTGGGCAATAAGGAAAGGAAATGGAATTTAATTTCTTGTGCACAGTCTGCAGCAGCACTCTGTATTTAAGTCAAATATTTTTCAGTGTTTAAAATTTTCCTTCCAATATAGCATGCAGAGTTAGTGTTATGGTATGCTGACATTAAAAAAAAAAACCTATTAAATATATCAGTAAAATAAAAGATGCAAGTGGTTGAAAATCTTACCCACCAAAAAAGTGGTCCTCATAATCTCAATTAAAACAAATGCAAGGGTCATTAATCCATGAAAGAGATTTAAAATTTGCATTAATTTGGTTTTGTATCTCTAGAACAATGCCTCCAAGCTTTTGCTGGCTATTATGGAAAGCAGGCAAGACAGTGAGAATGCGGAAAGAATCCTTTTCAACATGAGACCAAGAGAACTGGTGAGAAAACTTGTGAATATTCATAAATCTTTTGGCTAAAAAAAATCTGTCATTAAAACATTTTAAAAATGATCTGTATCTAAGCTGAAAAGTGTTGGCAGCGTATGGTGGCACAATGTATCAGGATAGTACTAATTCACAAAAAGTGCTTTAAAAGGATCAAGCATGCATGATTTCAGTCTTTACGACTTCATTATTTTTATCCGTTCCAAGCACTTTTCTGTAATTGTTTCCTAACTAAATTATCATATTCTGGTAGACTGTCTTCAAGTACAGTTTGTCAGGGGCTGGCAAATGAAGCTTGTACAGTTTGTGAAGCAGTGCTAACAGAAATGTGTGTGTAGACATAGAATATATTTAATATACATGTATGTTATTTATTTATGTCTCACGAACAAAGAGAGTTCCAAGCAGTTGTTGCTGTGTTTTGGAACAACCCTGATGTTAATGGAGGTTTCCAGGAACTTCAAATGAGTTGGAAAATTGGGGAAGTAATTTCCAATAAGACTTGACTTTGTAACAACAGAGACTGAGAGATCTGGGAATTCTTGAGGGATCTGGGGAAGAATCTGGGGGCATCATCCCTGCCCTTAGGCAGAGCCCAGTGCCTGCTGGTTTCAGGGAATCATCACTAAGGTGGCACCTCAGCAGGATGAGGCCATCCCTAAGGTACAGCTGCAGGATCAGGCCTTGTGTGGGGAACCCTCTGGTGGTCCTGTAAGAGGCTTTTGAATATTTGGAATTTTCCCCAGAACCCTGCCCAGATCTTCCTTTCCTTTTTGGTTTGAGTGTGGCTTTTTCCTGTGAAATTGTGTTGCTGCCTGCTCTGGCCAGAAGAAGGTCATGGCTGCACTCTAAGTGCTGCACAACACTCCCTGCCATATCTAGACTGGTCTTTAGAAGCATTTGTGGAAATACCTGCTCACAAAGACTCAGCACTCCTGTTCCTTTCTCATGGCTGCTGATGAAAAATGTAGTGGTTTGGAGCTTCATAAATCCTTCAAGCTTGTCTTTATTCAGAAAGTGTTTCTCAGGCTGCTCACTCTTCTTGCAGAACTGCAGGGCACCCATCCAGGCTGGAGCTGAACAAAGTGGCTGTGTTCAAACACAGTGTGTTTTTCCCCCAAGGACCACATTTATTTCATCTCTCCCTGCCTGGGTTTGTGTTGCAGGTGGATGTGATGAAGAATGCCTACAACCAAGGCCTGGAATGCGACCACGAGGAGGAGAATGGAGATGATGGCATCTCCCCAAAAGATGTTGGCCATAATATCTATATTTTGGCACATCAGGTATGTCTTACTTGTTTGGTGACAGCTTCCAGGAAAGCATCACATGATTAAACTCCACATTGTCACAGGTGGAGTCACTTCAGTGCTAAGAGAGAAGTAACAAAGTGTTTATTGATAAAAACCCAAGTTTGATAGCAGATGTGACAGTGAGTTAATAGGGTTCAGTGGCAAGGCACACTTGATTGTTTGCTGCTTTCAGGACAGGCTCAGCCAACACTGTCAGGGAGACCCTCCTGTTGAGTCATGATGTTGAGGAAGGATCCCCTTGCATTCTAAACTCCTTCTCCGAGGGGAGTTTAGGTGCAGCTGGATCCAGATTTAGTCCCAGCTTTGCCCAACAGTGTATGTCTAAAGGTTTATCTGCACACGATCAATCCTTTACATCATTTAGCCATCAAGATTTCAGAGTTCAGCATGCTCTTAACCACTTACCAAGAGTCTCTTGTGGTAAGGAATCCCTCAGTCTTGAGGAGCAACCTTGAGAGCCATCCCCTGCCCAGGGGGAGATCCTGAATATGTTGGTCCTCCCATGGAGAAGAAATTTCACACAAATTGTTATTTGTGTGAAACAATGTAGAGCAGAACAGTGACTGTCCACTTAGCTTTGTCTTCTTTTAACATTAACACATCATTTATATCAATCAAATCATAAATTGTGTTACCATTACTAGTGTATTTTAAATAGTGCCTTCAGTTGTGATACCAAATGATTTCAGAAGATTCCTATTATTTTAGATATATAACTTTGCCAATAAGAATAATTGGGCTTTTTCACTGCTTTCTCCTTTCAAATTATGCTGTAGTGTCCTCAAGCTTTTTCTGATCACTTTCACCTCTCTAGTGGTAAAGGTAGAATGTACACTGAATGTACATTGTTGTTTAATGGGCTATTTATTCTTCAGAGTATCTGGTGTCAAAAATAGTTTATCTTTCAGTTACGTTCAGAGTATTGAAAAGTTTTTTGTAATTGAAAGAGTAAGGATCATGAATTTCTTGGTTATATCATAAATTACAGCATTTGGTATTTCATATAAGGGCTAAATTTTTAAAAAATGTTTTTCCCTAAGTAAGAAGAAACAAACAGATGGGGATAGGGAGTGTTCCTCATTCAGTATGTTTATTAAGTGTTGCTAGAAATTGAATACTTGGTGGGGAAAAAAAAAAAGCAAGCAATCTATAGTTACAGTGGTATTATGCAATGTTTCTTTCAAGCAAGGAATGCAAAAAAACAGTGACTGAGTTATGCTGGTGTGCTCACAGCACATTTAAATAAGTAGGTATTGTTATTATGTTGTTGGTGGTATGATTGACCATATTGTGCTCTCGTGCTGTGTGTGGGACTGTACATAAGATACCCATCAGAGATGACAGTATTTTTAGAAAGCATCTGCAGCTCCTTACCTTGTCTGAATTTACTCCTTGTCTAAATGCTTATAATGAAAATTTAAATGCCTGCCAAATTGAAATGTTGGTATTTTCTGTCTTTTGCCTACAGGTTGTGTTAAATTACTTAACAGGGTCTGTGACATGGAAAATATGGTTTGGGGGAGTGGAATATAGGTCTAAAGCTATTCATGAAGCAGCTGCTGGGGTCATTTTACACAAGAGGTCGCTGCCAGGGGTACACCAGCTGGCTGAGGTGTAGGTTGAGCTCTGTCCCTAGGTTCATATCCACAGTGCTGGAGAGGTCCATGGTGCCATTCCACAGCTATTCCTGATCCATAGCTGGTGTTTCAGTTGCATAAGGGTGGATATTTTTACAGCAACTTTCTGAGCTCCTTCCTGTTCTGTCAAATTAAATGTCATGATTGGCTCTGTATGCTGTAAAAATATCCATCTTTTTACAAAAAAAAAAAAAAGGAAAAAAAAAAAAGAAAACAAAAAAGACTGTTTTCCTTTTCTTGCATTTCTGTAACATAGTACATGTGTTTACAATAGCTTTGCACCCATGTCCACCCCATACCAAAACAAAGCAATGCCAGGGCAGGCAATTTGGGGCCTTTCTGTGTCATAATGAAACACTACAATTCTTGGCACAGACCTGCTGATCTTTGACCCCAAACTCTTTCCTCATGTGCCCTTTTTGCTCGCCCTGGGATGGGCAGGATACAAGCAGGGACCCTCCTCAGTAAGGCCATTGTTGCTGGGTTCCTTTGCTGGCTTCAGTCTCCAAACACCCTCTGCTTTGCTGTCAGTGGCTTTTTGGTGCCTGGGCCTTCTGCTTGGCTTAGCTGACCTGGTTTACATAATATTTCTTTGCTGTGGCACTTCATCTGACTTACCTTTTTTCTACAACCAGTGTGGCTCTTCAGGCTTTCCTTACACTTCCACTTGCTCTAGTTACAGCTTTTTGGTCCCTCTGTGATAGCAGAATCAAGACTGAGAGTTCCCCTTTTTGCTGTTCCAGCCCTCAAACACAGACAGTTTATTTTGGGGAGCCCCGACTTTCAGTTTTTGTCGTTGCACTCTTCAGGGCAATGCTGGGTTCTGCATTTTGTCACCACTACATCCTTCCTTGCCCTTCCTGTGGTTGATTTTACCAGAAGCAAGAGGCATTCTTGTAAATGTGCGACCCAGTGTGCATAGAAAGTTGTACATGTGTCACAAGCAAGGCTGAGATTTCTGTTAGTAAATCTTCCTCCCAGCCCGTGCCCTAAATGTGCATTTGCACGTGGTGCACACACAGAGGTGTGTGGGTACAGCAGCAGTGTCAGGTCAGTGATCACACACCTTCCTCGTGTTTCTTTGTCCTCTCTTTCCTTTATTTCTTCATCTTCCTCCAGCGTGCCACGTGCCCTGGCTGTGCTGTTTCCCCTGCACTGACCCCAGGCTGTCTGGGCACTGCTGCTCCTCACTTTTCCTGCTCCTCGGTGAGCAGAGGGGAGAAGGGAGGGCCACTGAGAGAAAGCAGAACTGAGCTGTCCATGAGGAGCTGCCCGAGCTGGAGCCCTCCTCTGCAGCCTGGTTTTGGGGCTCCTTCCACATGTAGCTCTTCTACAGCTGCTTGTGGAGCAGTGACACGAGCTTGAGGTCACATCCTGGAAAAAATAAGCCTGTTGTTGGTAGGTAGAAAGGGTTCACAATTCTCTTGAAAATCCACGGAGGAGATTCTGTTTTGTTTCTCTGGTTCTAATGTCATGCTCAGACTTGACCTTGCTAATTCCTTGCAGTAGTCTCAGTTGAGGGCCAGAGGTGTGTTAATGGACAGTTCCATCACTTACACCACTTCTTACACCACTTCTCTTCCAGCCTCAGCCAATAGATAAGGTATTTTTACTGCTGTCCCCTTAAGAGATTGTGTTAAAGCTGGTCACACTTTGTTTTCACAGTTAGTAAGGCTGTCCACGAAGAGACTTCATCTTGATGTGATGTCCCTGTAGGAAATTGCAAAAGCTTTTGACACAGCAGCACAAAGAAAAGTTTGCTCCTTATCTGCAAAAGCATTAAGTGTAGGAGAATCAAGTTTTTAAATGGTTATACAAAGAAAGAAATTAGAAAAAGCTAAAGAAATCCTCTGACTTTTCAGATGACTGCTTGAGCTGGCTGGCTGTTAGTCATAACAAAGTACTTCAGAAGTTTGTAAACTAAAACACAGTACTTCACTGGCAATATTTCCATGAGGTTCATGATCCCTTTGATATACTATGAAGCAAGACAAGGCAGTGATTATAACTACAGGCTCCTGTAGTCTGCATGCACATACACATATATATATATGTATGTATGTGTGTATATGTGCTTCTGTTAACAAAAGATATTTGGAGTGTTTGTGTTTTTCAGCTCACACAAACTGTCTAAATCAGGCATGGAGCCCAATCTAATCCACTGTACCTTTCAGCAGGGACTTTATTCATGAGAGGCACAAGAATGTGAAATAACTTTACATAGCTTTTTGTCAGCTTGCAGCATGGCAAGAGTTCACTTTCATCTGCCTGCAGAGCTGTGGAGAGATATCCTTGATCTGGAAGGATGCGAGTGGGGGGGAGTAAGGGAACAAACTGTAACAAAACTTCCAGATTTCCAATGCCTTATAAGCTCCTCTGCCTGGTTCCCAAGGCTGTGGCAGGAGTGTAGGGTACTGATGCAGTGTGTCACCCCTTTTGTGATGCACATTCCATGCTCTCAGGCTAGCAAAATGTTTTCTCAATTTTAAGTTTCTGCCTAAATGCCCTGTTGGAGAAGGAGCACAGGTCTTGGAACTCCACAATACCTTTGTTACTAACAGGTAAATAGGAGGTTATTTGTTTGGTTGTTTGTTTTTGTTTTTTAAGAGATAAAGCTAAAATATTATTTAAATCCCAACCAGCTACTTATACAATTATCTGGTGCCACCAAGACTTAATGAAAAATATTTCCTCACCCCATAAGGTTAGAAGAATTATCACTGTCTGATATCAGTGAAGACAAATTTGAACCAGGCTATCTTCTGACAGACTAACACAGTTGGAAGTGTCCTTTCATTTATAAGTTCTTAAAATAAACCAGGGAAAAAGAGGTATATCTGCTGTGAACTGTAAGGTTCTCACTGCAGGTACTGCTAAGGACACACATCTTCCTCTCTGGTGCTGATTTTAAATGGACTGAGCAAAATAAGTCATTCAGTCTTATATATTTGTTAGAATATTAATAACAGAATCAAGATTTTTTTTTCCCCCAAACTTGGCAAGCATTATCAAACTAATGTCTTATTGCCATGTTTACTTCATTGCTTAATAGTGTAGACAGATGAAGGGTATTTACTAACTAGGCAATTAAAATTTCAATAATTGATGGCATGGATTTATAGTTTGGGAGTCTACACTACCAGCTATTTTTTAAAAGTTACTATTTTTAACATTTGAAATAGGGCAGGTTTGATAATGAGACTTGGATATGATACATTCATTCAGGATGAAGTAAAGTCAGTTAAAAAAAAATTAGCTATCTAAATAGGAAAAATTCTAAGAAGTACAAAGCCTTTTGTTTCTGTGGGTTTCTCTAGTCTGTCTTTCTGTAGCTTT